ATTGAAGGTTGGGCTTATATTATCCAAAGTATTCTAGTCTTCTCTATAAAAGAATGAGGCTGAAACACTTTAGAGGGGGTATCTGTAGACGTCAAAAATTGCCTATAGGTTCCCGCATGTAGCTCGAGATGAAGAGAAGGTGATGAACATCACTATCCGAGTCAAAGAGGACCATCCGATACCGTAAAGAAGCAAGGAAATGAACGAAGCAAGTCGGCGAAGCATACGAGTCAAAGAAACGCGCGAAACGACGGAGAAACAACACAACCAGAGCTGTGTTTCATACACAGAGTGTAAAACACACCTGGATGTTTCGCACTATGTGCGAAACACACCAAAGTGTTTCTTACACATGTGTGGAACACTCATATGTGTTTCGCACCCCTGCAAAACACACAACAATGTTTCGCCCGTTCAGCCTCTCGACAATGTGTTTTTCAATAGATTTACGGGATTCGTTCATTCTACAGCATCCCTAACTACCTTGGGGTTATCTTTAAATATGGTAAAACCGTTATTAACTAAAGATAAGGCCAAATCACGAATTATTATCCGAAAACACATCGTCCTAAGCCTATAAATACACCCCTAGGACCCCTATACACGGGGGGATCGGGAATTTCGATCTTTGAGATGAGTTGCTGACCTTGTGAGAGGAGAGCCACAAATTTTAGATCTAAAGGCGAATTCTTAAGCATAAAGAAGAACCTTTGGAGAGATCCGCACACTATCACTTGTTCCCTCAAGATCATACTGTCGTTTTGATCTTGAGAAGGGTATTTATCTTATATTATTGAGATATTTACTTCCATTCTTATTTCTATAAGAGAATGGGAATGATAAGCCTTCTTCACGATCAACTGGATCTGATTTTTGACGGTCCACAGATCAACAAGTCCCCGGTACAGGCAAAGATTCCACGCAAGCAGCGATCGATAAACGATATATACACACACACGTATGTATGTATGCTAGTTTTATTGGATATGGAATAAATTTTTATTATAGAGGCATGTCCATATTTATATCTGTGTGTGTATATATATATAGACACACACAGATACAAATATTGATATGCCTCAATGTACATATGTATGTATGTATTTTTATATATATACACACACACGTATGTATGTATGCTAGTTTTATTGGATATGGAATAAATTTTTATTATAGAGGCATGTCCATATTTATATCTGTGTGTGTATATATATATAGACACACACAGATACAAATATTGATATGCCTCAATAATGAAAACTCATTCCATATCTAGAATGAATTATACATATATATACACACACAAATATGGATATGCCTTAGTCAGTAAAATTACTGGATATTGAATGAATTTTCATTACCGAGGCATATTCATTTTTGTATCTGTGTGTGTGTGTGTTTGTGTGTATATATGTATGTATGTATATATATATAATCTTAGCGGATATGGAATGAATTTACGTTACGCAGGTATATCCATATTTGTATGTGTATTCAAAATTGATAAGCGGATACGGATATTAAGTATCATATCCAAAATGTATTCGTACAGTTTGCAACCATAGAGGAAAGCAACCATCTTACGTTCTTTGGTTTCCCTTGCTCAATGTATACATGGAATAACATCATGGATTGGATCCAAGTCTACCTGTAGCTGGGAATGTCTAATTGATTAGATTTCTATAAGATTGAAGGGACAAGGTTTAAGCAAAAAATTAAAATATAATGATTTTTGCGGTGGCAGTTTACAAGCTTTTGGCGAGTAACGATCTTGAGGGTTTTTATGCATACAAGCTAGGAGAATGAAGTTTTTGATCAGAGCAATTAAAACTATCTTGACTATTTTTCTTAGCAGTGATGTTTCCGAAGATTGTAAAAATGTGGATATGGAGCTTGTAGAATGTTAGTGTTTTTACTTTTCACTAGTAGAAAAATGAACAAATTAGACGGAACAAACTAGACGAATTTTTTTCCGTCTATTTTGCCTCAAACAAGATGGAAAAAAAATTTGTCTAGTTTGTTCCGTTTAGTTTACATCAATCTAGACGGAAATTTCATCTAGGTTGTCTACAAAAAATCAAAACCCTAACCTTTCCCAACCCCCCGCCACCCCCCCCCCAAAAAAAAAAAAAATTCAAACCGGATCCTCTCTTTTCATTTCCCCACCTCTTTTTTCTCCCCTCCCTCTAAAAACCCCCCAAACCCTTTCTCTCTCTACGAACCCCCAAATCTCTCTCTCTCTCTCTAAAATGGCGACGGCGAGCGACCTCCCAATAGACGACGATGACTTTTGCATGGCCTGTA